TGGGGAAAAATAGTCTACTTGGCTTATGTAGGGAGATGTCATGCTTGAGTTTATTTTTTTTTAATGGAGGCATTGATAAATGTTTTAGGCACTGGGCCCATTAAGTAAGGTGCCAATGACTTTTTAGAAAAATTTAGATTGCTGTTTTTCAAACTTGGCAACTTTAAGAGATGTGGACTTCATCACCCAGAATTCCCTCACTAGCATGGGAAGTTTGCCAAGTTTGAAAAACACTGGTTTAGATAAAGGTTCTTATTAAAAACTATGAAGAATGAATAGGATAGTAGCCGCCAAAGAGAAAGACAAATCTTTTCATTTGGAAAATAAAGACTAGAACTGACAGCTCGGAACCCAAAGAATTGGTATATATCATGTTTTAAGTAAAAACAAAGATAGAAGAGATACATCTGAACAGGATGCCAACATTTTTCAGGATTATAAATCAAAGCAAGCCACAATAAAGACTTAAAACCTGGTGCTTTGGAAGGAGAATGAAGGGGTTTTAATCTGGAACATAGATATGCTGTAGAAAATGGCTTATTCTTATTTGGTCAGAGTTGTTTTAGTATTCATATTGTTATATAACAGTGGTTCTCAACCTGTGGGTCGGGACCCCATTTGGGGTCAAACGACCATTTCACGGGGGTCACCAAACAAGGCTGTCTGCCATTTTTTCCCCCTTTTCTTTGGCCACGCCCCTGGCACCTGGTGATGTATAAGTGGTTGGGGGTCACCACAACATGGGGAACTGTATTACGGGGTCGCGGCATTAGAAAGGTTGAGAACCACTGTTATATAGGATTACACCTGGGTCTGTTCTTGAAGATGGTTGGAAAGTTCAATCACTCGAAAAGATTGCCTCCAGACTACCATATATTTCACCATTTTTTACAATCTTTGCTGCCTTCCACTTCTGCTCTAATCCCAAATTAGGTTGCTGGTATTATTCTGTAAATTCCTCACAGATGCATCTTCTCAGTGCATCTGAGAAGAAAGCTTCTTGGAGTGGGATTCACATTGATTTTCATGGGATGACTCACCTTAGTAGGTAGGTAATAGAACTTAATTGCCATTTTAGTGTTATATGAAGATTTTTTATTGCTTCTTTTGTATACCCTTGAAAAGTGGCATTTTTTAAAAAAAAAACACTTTGTATTTACAACATAATGTGCATGCAGAGGCTGGCTGGGGAATTCTGTAGTTGAAAATGCACACATTTTAGGATTGCTGAGGTTGAGAACTTTGCTAGAGTAAATATCCAGAAATTATGTCCAGGTATTTCTAAGCAAAGATGCCCTAAAATTCTGGTGTGCTACTGGGAGAGCTGATTATATTTGGCTTGACTTTTTAATGCCTGTCTTCATCATAGTAAATTTCTGTACAGAATTTTAATGTTGCTGGGGATGCATTTTTTATGTGGCTGTAGGTAAAGGTAGGTTGTATCAGCTACTTCACAAAAATTAGTGGGTTTTTTTTGTCTTAACAGCAGAGAGAGATTTAGACTAGCGAAATAGGACAATAATTCCATTTGAAAGCAACATTAATTTGTGTAGATTCCAGTTAGCAGTTGCTTTTCCTAAATCATCCAGGAAAATCAGATTTGTGGGTGGCTTTTTGATAAAAATTCAAACTGCCACAAGTATTTATTCAAGTAGTTATGTTACTAAGCGTTATGACTGCAGTCCATTAGTGCCATCTACTGGGCAGTGGGGAGAACGTTAAAAATTTAGCATCAGAAATCTCTACATATTTCCTTCAAAGCTGCCCTTCAAGGCTCAAATGAACTGTAATCCTAAGAGCCAGTAGTGGGATTCAGCCAGTTCGAACCACTTCGGCAGAACCAGTAGCTAATTTTTTGTTGCCCAGGCCCAGAATTGATTTTCGGAAGCGGCATCCACACAGAGAACCGGTTGTTCACATATTTGAATCCCATCACTAAGAGCCCAGAAATTAGTTATTTGCTTAGAACAGGGGCCACGACATGCCAGAAACCGGTCTGCACAAACAAGCAAAGCCCCATCTGTGGGATGCAGGCAGCACACAAAACCACGCACCCTCAGGTCCGCGGAAAAACCTCTCTCCACAGAACCAGTCCCTGGTGCCGAAAAGGTTGTAGACCTCTGGCTTAGCAAACCACACCTGGCTTATGTTCATACAATATACTAAGCCAAGCCCAAATAAAACATGATTTCATGGGTTCTGCAAATGAGGACAGCTAAACCTCTCTAAACACACATGCATAATGTAGAACCCTGGAGCGTATTTCTCATAGACTTCAATTAGCACAAAACTTAGCATCTCTCCTGACGTACCTGGAGATCATAGGCTTTTGTTTGGAGTAAAATATAACGTGCTGGTTATCATCTTTAAAGCTCTTTATGGTCTGGATTCAAAATACCTGTCTCATTCCTGCTCACTGAGGTCCCTCAATGAAGTTGACTTGCAGAAGTAATGGGATTGCTTTGGTGGATACTTGGGCACTGAGCCTTTTTAAGGCTGTCCCTGGGCTGTAGAATTACATACTGTTGAATTGAGAGAATGGCATTTCATTCGAACTCCATTCATTTCTATGTAACAGAAACCAGGAACGTGTTATTCTTTCCTATATGCATATAGCAGGGAGGCACAGTGGCTTAGCGGTTTAAGATGCTGGGCTTGTTGGCTTGAAAGCTGGGAACCCAGGTTCAAGACCCGAGTGCCATATGACAGGGTGAGTTCCCAGCCTCACCACAGCTCCTGTCAACCTAGCAGTATGAAAGCATGCAAATGTGAGTAGATAAATACGTACCATTTCGGTGGGAAGATTAACAGTGCTCGGTGACATAATTCTGACCCACATGACAGCAGAAATGTCATCGGACAGCGCTGGTTCAGTGGCCTTGAGACAAAGATGAGCACTGTCCCCTATAGTCAGCAATAACTAGCAGAGTAAAATCCGCAAGGACTCTTACCTTACATGCATATAGGCATGATTTGTGAAGCTTCTCGCTCTTCTTGTGCACTAAGAATCATACATATGAAGGACTTACTTCACATTATTTTATATGCAACAGAAGAACATAGCTCCCACAACACAGAGGGAGCATCCTTGGATGGATAAACATCTCATATTTCATGAGAATTATAGTGCAAACTCACAAATTCAACTCAGAATTCAGAAATTGGTGTAATATAACTTGGCCAATAAGAACAGTGGCAGTGATCTACAAAACAGCGGGATGCCAGACAAAAGTGAATATTCTCCATTCTCCTTTCAACAGATTTCTTTAAATATACATGTGACCTTTATTAGATGCTTCCTACGTGAAAAATAGAACTGTATTAATGTGATTGCCAAAGTAATCTCTAGTACAGGCAGTAAATAGATAGACTCAGCACGTCGATGGCCATTTTTCTTCACAGCTGAACCAACCTGATGGCTTAGATCATGGGTGTCAAACTTGCCATGTCACGTAACATGTGCAACGTATCGTGACTTTTTTTGCATTGCCGGAACTGGGGTGGGCACGGCCTCCACATGATACAACCAGCCCCGGGCTGGCAGTCTGACACCCCTGGCTTAGATTGTTGGGCTTTATTGGGGAAAACCTGTTTAGATCTCCTATGCTACGAACATGTTGTAGATGATCTGCTTTTTTTAGCAGGACAGAAAGAGAGTTAAGTACAATATTCTGTCAGATTTACATGATAGAAAAACTTCTAAGAAAGATCAGAGGACAATCAGTAATAGCTCCAGCAAAATGTTTTTCAAACTTGGCAACTTTAGGATCTATGGACTTCAACTCCCAGGAATCTCTACTATGATCTCTAGATCCTACAGAAATGAATAAAATTTCATTTCTGACCTATGTATTAGAAAGATATAACATATAATTCTTACAGCCTCATAAACTGGGATCTAGACCTTCTGGAATGCACTTCTTGATGTCCTGTAGAACCCTAGTCTTCAGCTGATGGGATAATTTGAGTTTAAGAAAAGCTGGAATATTGGTTCTTGAACAAAATATTTGCTTGATAATTTAGTTGCTTTTAATAAAAAATATAGTTATACCTGGAGATATGGACTTTCTACAATGCTTACAATTTTTTTGTCTCTAGACAAAGGTCTCTATAATGGTCTTAACAGAACTAAATAACATAAAATTCGATTTTTTTCTGCCTATTAACTGTACCATTTCTACAGTGATATAATTTACAATTTCTGCCATCTACAATGTGCTATTATTTTCTCAGCTTTTGTCTGGCAGCAACATTTTTTTCACCAAAATGTGATTTCTGCATATAAAAAAATATTGCTCAGTATTTATCAAAATCACTTATTTAGCATAGATTTTCTGTATCAGGCACTAATTTTCCTTCTCTATAAAAATTCGTAAGAAATGAAGTTAATAACATTAATGATAAACAAAACCTATCTACTTTCTAGGGAAACTATGCAAACTGTCCTTTTGCTCTACCTGGGCATAGTGTTCTACTGAACATAAATAAATATTTATAGATTCCAACTGATTTTCTTTTGAAACCTGCTGAAACTCTTCTGATTTTATAATAGCATGCATCATTTTTGATTTGTGAGGTAGCCATTTTGATATCTAATATATGAACCAATCTTCCTCAGAATGGCCCTCTGAAGATGTGAGCAGACTGTAACTTCATGACATTTTGACATGTGTTTTGAAGCACATTCACCTAAAACTGGGGTCCCCAATCCCTGGTCCGTGGACCAGTACTGGGCTGCAGCATGCCAGCAACCAGTCTGCACAAACAAGCAAAGCCCCATCTGTGGGATGCAGGCAGCACACAAAACCATGCATCCTCTGGTCCATGGAAAAACTTCTCTCCACGGAACCGGTCTCTAGTGCCCAAAAGGTTGGGGACCTTTGACCTAAAAGAAAGCCCCATTGAATTCAGTTGGCATCTTCCAAGGAATTGGTAGCTGGAATTGCAGCTTGAGTTTCATTCTGAGGCCATCTTTATCCACCAAATGAGTAAAAAGGAAAAAGATTGTAACAGATAAACATTTATTCCTTGGTGATTACATATTTCAGAGGTCCTCTTTTAAAAAACTTTAAAAAAACAGAAAATGTATTTATAATACAAAAGATTATTAGTAGATAGGTTACATAGGAAAATACCCTAAAATTAAAAACACATTTTTTTTTTGACAATGATTACAAAATTTGCAGCAGTGATGCATCAGGTTCATGCCAGGTCAACCTTGGCCACTGCAACATTTTCTTTATATTCCCCTCCCCTTCCTAAATCCAGCTAAGAAAAAGTGGTCAGTGGTTTCCATGAATTTCTGTTAATATCTGTATGGTGACTCCCTAGAAGAAAAGATTACAAGAAAAGGCAAAAATCAGCAAATCATTGCAAAGCACACATTTAATGTAAGCAGAAGATACCAAGTTTAGAATTAGGGGAAGATTTACTATATAAAACAGCTGCAACTAAAATCTGAAAAATTTGCTAATATTTTAAATGCCACAACCTTAACTGCGCACTCCAATGAAAAGGCCTAGATACAGGTGGTCTTTGTTTAGGTACCACAATTGAGATGAACAGCTCCACCACTAAGCAAAGCCATCTCTGAGTGGGAAATCGTAAGAGGATGATTGTGTTTTCTGTTTTCCACTTCCCTTGAATGCTCATCTAGACAGTACTGGAACAGCTGACTCAAAACTGGCAAGATCAATCAGTTTTACATATTGACTTTTTATTTATTTATACCCTGCCTTCATGATTTTTATGTATAACTCGAGGCAGAGAACATACCTAAAACGCCTTCCTTCTCCTATTTTTCCCACAACAACTGTGTGAGGTGGGTCGGGCTAAGAGAAAGCGACTGGTTCAAAATCATCCAGTTGGCTTTCATGCCTAAAGTGGGACTAAAACAGTTTCCTGGTTTCTAGTCTGATGCCTTAATTGCTAGTCAAAATTGGCTCTAATTTGCCTCCAAACCATTATCCCACTCACCCAGCATTCAGATAATTAATAAGAAGAGAATTAATGTTTGCATTTACATTTATTGGAGAGGAGGGGATTACAAGAAAGTAAGCAGGCACACAATGGGGAATACATATTGAAAGCAATGGGCTCTTGCTGGCAGCCATGAGTATGCTACACAAACTGCCCTATTGTGTGCTTGCTTACTCTCCAGTAATACCTTTCTTTCCAACCTTTTTGCTCTGTAAGGGGGAGAGGAAATAAAACAATAGGTCAGTCACAGGACAATGCACAATGACACTGATGATGATCATGTCAATGAGGGACAGGACCACAGTCACTTTGAATGGTTGCTGAACAAGGCAGTTGGTAAGTGAGGACTACATGTAATACACCACAGTCCCACTAGTATAGATTTCTGTACTAACACTGTTAATGAGATCTAAGTATGGGGAATAAATTTTCAGAAACGTTTCTTCTAACAAATGTGGCATGAAATATGATTTAACTAGGTCACATCAAGATCTTACAGCTGCATTCACACAGCTGTTAGCTGAATTAGTTTTAGCTTCATTTTATTTTTCAGGTTTTATTACTTGAACCAAATTAAGCTAAGTGAATTATATGAGCTCAGCCCATTTCTTTTTCCCCTTCTTCCTATTCCGCAATAATTCCTGGCCAAATAAATTTGGAAAATTTCTGAAGCATTAAGGTTTCACCCATTTTCCCAACTTTCAAAATCTCTAATAAACCCATGTTCTAATCAGTCCACATATTCTTTGCAGGTGAGTGGCCACTGGGCTACAGCTTAGACAAGCACTCAGAGATGCAATTTGCAACAATCAGTGTCTCTATAAAGAGGCTACGCGAATTACTTCAAATGAATTTTGCCATCCTGATAGTCCCACATGCTTACCTGAAAATCTCTGATATATGTTAAGAAGAAGAACACAAAGCTGAAGGCTACTGTCCATTCGCAGATTGCACTTACAAAATGGTACACATAATCCTAATGGAAGGAATACATACGTAAAAAGCCGTTAAATAGAGCCATTAAATTGTTTGCAATGGCAAACAAAAGGTGAGTCAAGCACAGAGATAGCAAATAACTATATACCAGATGCACAGTGTGGTGGGAAAGTACTTATTGATTTAGAATGGCATCCAGGCACGAGTCTCTTTGATTCAACAGAAGCCTCATCAGTAGGAAAAGGATGTAATTGTCAGTAATTGACCTCCTCCTGCATTCTCCATGTTGTTCTGGAGAATTGTCCCTCAAGGATTTGGGAAGAGGAGAAAACTTCAAAGCCTGCCTTTTTCTCTATTTCCCTGACAGAAGCCCCTGCTACCTCAAGCCCTGTTGTCATCAAGTGAAGACAGTCTTATTGATTTGCTGAATTTCAGTACACTTAACTATTTTATTTTTCCTACATGGCTAATTATTACCAATGAAAACGTAATATTAAAATATAAAATACTCTACATCTGGATCATTTTTCATTACTAAGTTTCTACAAGCACCCATACAAGATATGACAAATATTGGAGCGCTGATAGCACAGTGGTTAGAATGCAGTATTGCAAGGCTAACTCTGCTCACAGTCTGGTGTTTGATCCTGACCGGCTCAAGGTTGATTCAGCTTTTCATCCTTCCGAAGTCGGTAAAAAGAGGACCCAGATTGTTGGGGGCAATAAACTGACTCTGTAAACTGCTCAGAGAGTGCTGTAAAGCACTGTGGAGTATTATATAAGTCTAAGTCAGGGGTAGGCAACCTTGGCTCTTTTATGACTCATGGACTTCAACTCCCAGAATTCCTGAAACGTAATATTAAAATATAAAATACTCTACATCTGGATCATTTTTCATTACTAAGTTTCTACAAGCACCCATACAAGATATGACAAATATTGGAGCGCTGATAGCACAGTGGTTAGAATGCAGTATTGCAAGGCTAACTCTGCTCACAGTCTGGTGTTTGATCCTGACCGGCTCAAGGTTGATTCAGCTTTTCATCCTTCCGAAGTCGGTAAAAAGAGGACCCAGATTGTTGGGGGCAATAAACTGACTCTGTAAACTGCTCAGAGAGTGCTGTAAAGCACTGTGGAGTATTATATAAGTCTAAGTCAGGGGTAGGCAACCTTGGCTCTTTTATGACTCATGGACTTCAACTCCCAGAATTCCTGAGCCAGCAATGACTCAGTCCATGAGTCATAAAAGAGCCAAGGTTGCCTACCCCTGGTCTAAGTGCTATTGCTATTTTCTTGAGAATCATTGCTCTTAGTCATTTTGAGTTATGATTATTATTTGAATTATTTCAGTTATTTTATTTTATTTAAAAAAACTGAAATATAAGTTCTTGACTTCATGACAATGTTTTCTATAACAAGATTTTTAAGGCAGGAAAAAACAAGCTTGAAAACCTGTGCTATTTTCCTAAGAGCTAGATAAGTACCTTCTTTGGATCATCTGCTAGGATAAAGTAGATCACAACCTACTACTTGACAAGATAGAAAAATGTGGGGTAGACAGAACCACCACCAGATGGATCCGTAGCTGGCTGACCGGCCGTACTCAGCGAGTGGTCCTCAATGGAACTGCATCTATATGGAGGGAAGTGTGTAGTGGGGTGCCCCAGGCCCAGTACTCTTCAACATCTTCATCAACTGGAACTCATCAAATTTGCAGACGACACCAAGCTGGCAGGAATAGCCAACACTCCAGAAGACAGGCTTAAGATACAGAAGGATCTGGACAGACTTGAACACTGGGCACTAACTAACAAAATGAAATTCAATGGTGAAAAAGCAAGGTTCTACATTTAGGCAAGAAAAACCAAATGCACAAGTACAGCATAGGTGGCACCATGCTCAATAGTAGTAACTGTGAGAGGGACCTCGGAGTCCTAGTAGACAATCCCCTAAATATGAGCCAGCAGTGTGCTGCAGCTGCCAAAAAGGCCAACACAGTGCTAGGCTGCATTAACAGAGGGATAGAATCAAGATCACGTGAATTATTAATACCACTTTACAATCCTTGGTAAGGCCACACTTAGAATACTGCATCCAGGTTTGGACACCACGATGTAAAAAAGATGTTGAGACTCTAGAAAGAGTACAGAGAAGAGCAACAAAGATGATTAGGGGACTGGAGGCTAAAACATATAAGGAACGGTTGCTAGAATTGGTATGTCTAGTTTAACGAAGAGAAGGACAAGGGGGGACATGATAGCAGTATTCCAATATCTCAGGGCTGCCATAAAGAAGAGGGAATTAAGCTATTTTCCAAAGCACCTGAAGGCAGGACAAGAAGCAACGGGTGGAAACTAATCAAGGAGAGAAGCAACCTAGAACTAAGGAGAAACTTCCTGACAGTGAGAACAATTAATCAGTGGAACAGCTTGCCTCCAGAAGCAGTAAATGCTCCAACACTGGAAGTTTTTAAGAAGAGACCGGACAGCCATTTGTCCGAAATGGTGTAGGGTTTCCTGCCCGAGCAGGGGGTTGGACTAGATGACCTCCAAGGTCCCTTCCAACTTTACTATTATTATTATTATTATTATAAATAGCAATGAACTGGTCAAAAAGGCAGAGGGCCCCAACAAGGGATTCCAGTTGAGAGTTTCATGGGGATTTATAAGTTGATATAAGGTTTGTTTTGTACATTGTAATAGAACAGTGATTCTCAACCTGTGGGTCGGGACCCCATTTGGGGTCAAATGACCATTTCACGGGGGTCGCCAAACAATGCAGTCCGCCATTTTTTTCCCCTTTTCCTTAGCTGTGCTACTCCCTTTTGTTCTATTGGCTTTTGAAAGCCAATAGAATAGATTCTCTTGAATAGAGTCTAATTCTATTGGCTTTCAAAAGCCAAAAGGAATTGTCCAGGCTGTCTCTGTCCTGCTGAGCCTGCCAAAAGTCCCATTCTGTAAACAGTGCTGCACCAGTTGAGTAGTCCTCGACTTACAATCGGTTCGGGGTAGTGGCATTAAAAAGATTGGGAACCACTGTAATAGAAGAAGGAAAGGGTACCTATAAAATAGTCAGCATTTCTCTTTCTTGTGAGAGGGAAACACTTTTGTTCCTGGGACACAAAATCTAATCAGTATGCCCATTTTAACAACACTCATTGTTATCAACAGGATATTTACAGAACATCCTTAAAAATCGTGTTTCATGGCAAAATCTTTCACCCACTTTGCAGTTCTAAATAACAAACAGAATGTAGTAGCTAAGATATGATCTGGCTAAAATTGATTAGTGCTCCTGATAGAAGAAATGATATGATCAAATGAAACATATAGGGTTTTTGCAGCCAATATATATCATTATAGTCATAATCAAAATTGAACATCATCATCATCATCTAACACCATAAAACATATCCCTGGTCTTTGGAAAGGACTCGATAGGTGGATATAAATATCAAATCCAATCTGATTGTGCCACAAACCATAACTAGTAATATAGAATAGTTCAATACTATCTTCTTGGTTGACTTTCTATTGTATTTGAAACATTTACCTACCAGATGCAATCCTTACCCATTATTTTATGAAAAATAACACAAAAATGCTCCCTTGTGGTCTATTATGTACACAGAAATAGTAGTAGAGAATCAACACTTTTCAAAGAGTAGCTATTGTCTGCTTGCCACAAAAATAATGAAAAATCTTTATAGTACCAAAACCAAATTTATTGAGGCATAAACTCTCTTTATTCCTGCATCAGATGCTTTAAGAGTTATCCTCAGTTGATCTGTCTTAGCATATAGCACTAATCAGCAATAACTATTATATTTTATTCTCCTCCAAAATATTTAAGGAAGGATCGTCAACATCATTAATTATTCAATTTCCTTCTTCAACTCCAGGCGTAATCTGCAAGCCCAGTCATTTGTTGACTCCTGGAGATTGCCTGAACAAGTCTCTGCAGTTTTCTTGTCGGCAAGTTTTAGAAAGTGGTTTGCCACTGCCTGCTTTCTAGGGCTGAGAGGGAGTGATTGGCTCAGGGTCACCAAGTTAGCTTTATGCCTAAGGCGGGATTAGAACTCACAGTCTCCCACTCCCTGGCCTCATGCCTTTAACCACTGCACCAAACTGGACCTATATGTTTATATGGCTGCTCAAGTGTCAGTGGCTCTGGGCAACTGAAAAATAAATAGAACAAACACACTACTACTAAAAACAAATTAAAAAACATTAATACAAACAATACTGTTATTAGTTGCTGAGCTATTAAACAACAGTAAAAGAATATTTCACTTTTCACCAATCTGAGAGAAAATTCTAGGAAGGATAATCCCAAATCATCTGTCAGACCAATTATATTATTTTAAGGATGCATGTTTGTGTGTGCAGGGATATAGCTTCAGAGCAAATGTCAATAATTCTTTTTTAAAAAGAGAGAGAATTTCTATCAATATAGGTTGCATGAGGCATACCTGGTCAGAGCTCAGATTTGTGAGTAGTTCTGGCAAAGAGTCCTTTTGTTCTGAATATTAGACTGACAACCTTCCATTCCTGGCCTTTGGGTGAGAGGCAAATAGCCATGGATTATTCTGAAAGGAGAATTTACACAAACCTCAATTCTCCAAGTGCAAGTCTGTATACATTTGTTTTGTTTGAACTTTTACAAAAAAAAAATTAATTTCACAGTTCTCAAATCTGTATGTGAACCAGAATGCACTTGCACATTGAAAACTGCACTTCTCAGAACTTAACAATGTAGTTTTTGGTTTTATATATAAAAAAAAACCCTACAACTTTTAAAATGTGTATACCAAAGAAATATGTGTACAAAAAAAGGATAATACCTCATCTATATCTTAATATAGAGGAAATATCTAGATTTTTTGTGATTTTTTTTTAAAAAAAACCCAAATTTGAAAGATGAGAATTGAGCAAAACAAATTTGCAGCCAGAAAAAAAACTGAACAAGAGTTAATACTTATTAGTCATCTATAAATGTATTTTTAATTTATGAATTTATTGAAGCTAAGCATAGATTATGATTATGATTATTACTCCTACTGATTTCTTATTTTCCATAATATTTCTAAAGGAGACCTTGCTTCCTAAAATGCTTTTAGGGTTCCAAACTTCTCTGTATCTTTTAGTCTCTAGTTACAATTCTTAATTTTCTCACAATTTTCTCATAACAAAACCCATGAAATAGGAATAATGTCCTCCAATTTATTAGCAAGTCTAGAACTCTGACCAAATATATCTCAGGTAACCTGGATTTACAGAAAGTTAAACATCACTAAAAATCAAAAAGCACTGAGTTTGAAAGCCTACATATATCTACCAGGCAATCCTTAAAATTTAAAATATAGATGTCACAACCTATTAAATAGCATTAGCAACATGCAAACTCTGATTATCTGTTTCCTTCAGTATCTTAGTAAAATTAACTAATACATAAAGTTAAGCTGCACTGAATGGGTAGAAATATTGATTTTTTTACCTAGTATATGTTTACCTTTTCACCTGGATTCCAATCTATTTTTGTTATGGATATTAATGAAGCACATGCAATCACTGAGAAAAAGGAGTTAAGAGGAAACAACTGATTTAAAAAATAAAACATATAAAACTACATTTTCCTGTTACCAATATACAGTACATAACCTATGAAATAATGAAAGGAATATATCATTAATCAAATGGGGGAACAGAAATAGTAATAATGGCAGATGTACATGAAGGCAAAACTGATATCTGATAATAATAGAATTATAAACTTTTTATTTGTGATTGTATACAATAACTATTGCGCACAGACATGTTAGCAAGCCCACTCAATATGAAGAAGCAATGAATGTAAAGTTTCCTTAGATTCTAAAATCTCTTGGTTTGGGTATACATTCCTAATTTCAGTATCAAGAATGTGTACTTTAATTTTTAAGATAAAGTTCATCTCTATCTTTTTGTCTGTGCAGGAGAGCCAGGCCAATGCAATGTAATGCAAGGCTCAATTTTCTTTCAGAGACTCCACTTCATAGAAACCTTGTACTATTCTCCTAGCAAGTAGTACTTATCCCTATAGGAGGTTCTGTTTTTTTTAAAGAGGTTCCCTAGCTTGTGAAGCCTTCTGGAAAAAAAAAGTCCCTACAACGTCATGATAAGTACCACTTGCTAGGAGAATAGCACAAGGGCTGGCAGCCTCTGCAAGAAATCTAAGGTGAGCCTTGCATCACATTGCATTGGCCAGGCACTTCTGTAAAAAAATGAAAAGTTAAGTTGGTGCTGCTGGGCCCTGGAGTTGGGTTAGGAGCAGGTCCCTTGGGTAGCTGGATGGGAGACAGGCCTTGGTTTACAAGCTATAAGTGTCCTCTGTGTGCCAGCTTTAGGCTCCCTTGCTTGGTTGAATGCAGTTTGGGAACAGGCTGAGGCCTGGGGAACTCCGAGGAACAGGAAGCAGAGCACTGGAGACAGGTCTGGGCCTGCACTAGGTCTCAAGGGCCTCCCCCATCCCTGAAGCACCCAGTACTCCACTTAATTACCCACATGTTCGTTTAACAATTGCACTGGGGATGTATGGGTTTAGGTGAGATGGTTCATTTAATACCACTGCAACATGCAACCATAATGGGGAGGCTCCATGACAGTTGTATCTCAAGGACTGTCTGATATCATGAAAATAGTTTCAACATAGCTGGTACATACTATATATCTAGGTATCTTCTTATGTCTGGTGCGTCTCTGCCAAGGTCTCATTGTTTTATAAGCATGGCTTATATCTCAAATTTGCATATTATGAACTGTATAATTTTATCCTTTTCAGGAAATACTGTAAAACTGAATATAGAAATAGTAAGCTGACTTGAAACTGTGGTGCTTGTATTATTAAGAACTTTGACATATTAATATTCTGCTAAAAAAAAGGATACTGGGAATGACAGCTACCCAAGCCATTACAGAGAGGAATAATCTTGTGTGACATACACATGGGGTGCTCCATTGTGGACGTGATTTGTAAGAGATAATTGTCTGAAGAAGAATGTAGAGAGCACCAGAGACAAAAGCCAAAAGAGCTCCCCCATCATGGACAGCAGGAACTGCTAACTCCTGAAAAGACAATTGAAAAGTGTTGTATATTATTAGAGTTGCAATCAATGTACAGAAAAGACTATAATTAGGAAGCAAATAAGTGTAGCCAGACTACAGTAGCAGTGTTAGGAAGGCATTTTGGTTATTACAAGCAACCTAATAGTACAGAAGTCCTCAACTTACAACAATAATAAACAACCAAAATGGTGGTGGTAAGTTGAGCTGGACCCTATTTTATGACAATTTTATAAAGGTTGTTAAGTGAATCATGCAGTTGTTAAGTGAATACCAGGGTCATTGGACAAATCCAGATTCCCTAATAGGCAATTTATACTGAAAATCAGCAAAAAAAGATCACAAATCACAATTAGTGACCACAGGACACTGCTATCTATCAGTGTCATAAATATGAGCCAGTTGCCAACCATTCCAATTGCAAACATGTGACTGTGAGGGTGAAACAAAGTTGTAAATGCAAGTACAGATCATAAGCCAAGATAATTACAACCAGTCTACAAAGTTACGGCTGTTGTAGAGCCTTGCAGTCATGTGATCAAAATCCAGGTCCTTGGCAAGCCACTTGCATTTACAAGCACATGGTGGGCTTCAACTTCCCCCTACCCGCCTGTCTCCCCCACATCTCTGCCCTTTTGGCTGCTCTGCTTTCCGCCCTCCCCCCCCCGCCATCTCTTGCTGACCTACACTATCTTCCTCTACTTTGAGGACTGCCTGGCCAAGGCAGCTGCTGGCCCTTCAGAGCTATTGTGGAGGCCTCATGAAAGCCAACTGCTGCCTTGGCCAGGCACTCCTTAGCAGCAGTGGACAATGATGTTGGTCAGCTGGGGATGGCAGGGACGAGAGATTACAGGGCAGCCAAAAGGGCAGAAATAAATGGAGATAGATGAGGGGGGGAATTGAAGCAGAGGCAAGTAGGGCAGGGCACTGGAGCCTCATCTGCTGAAGGGAGCTCCCTGAGACCAGTTGGGAAGAAGGCAGTTCATACAAGGCAGATGTGTGAGGCCATTCCCTAATGACAGTGCAGATCTTGTCCAACAACCATAACCAGGACTTCCAGAACAATTGTTGGTATGCACTGCAGTCATGTGGTACTTTACCTAACAACTGCTGCAATGGATACCAATCAGGGTTGTTAAAGAGTGATGACTACCTGTATGGTAATTTATGAAGAGGACAGATTTTTCTAATAGATACCACTGACTTATCAAAAAAAAAAAAAAAAAACCACCTTGATTACTAGGGCCTGGCTAGGGAAATTGGAGGACACAGAGAGAAAGATCTTATTCAGTTTATATAATGTTAACTGTAAATACAACACTGGCTATCATTTTATGCACAGATGTTTCCTTTAATCTTGATTTTGTTTATTGAAAACTCATTTTTATGTCATATTTTGTGAATGATTTCATAACACAGTTCAGTTTGCGGTTGAATTCAGTTCAACAAAAACTTCAAGTTTATAATATCATTCCCGTCCTACTTAAATGTCAACTCAATCCAAATGTATCTTGGCTTCTTCATGACCCATATTAAATGGGCCTCATGAGTCTATAAATAACATATTTGTACTCTTGAAATGAATAAGTCAGAATTTACAATATCTCTCCATGGATGTAGTTCATTACTGCTATCTCAAATTTGCTTAGATTCTAAGCCATAAAATCATACACTGATTTGATTTACCATTCACTGAGGTACATCAAACAGTCTGCAAATGCTGATATTATGTAATCTTTCCTGTTTTATACTCCCCTTGCTTAGTCTTAAATCTGTTTCAGAAAGTCCCTCAACTATCTCAAACAGATTTGGAAATTAGCAAGCAACTATCTGGGAAACTATCACTTCTTCTCACAAGAAATATACCAAGTATACCAAGTATCCATTGGATATCAAAAATTCCATCTCATTCATATTATCTAATGATGGATCATAGGTTCAAAGTAACTTCTTTCATTTATTTCCACAGATCATCAGAAGACACTTTTTTTGAGAAGGACAACAATGTCTAGGACAAAAACTTTTATCAGTAACATGCAAATCTGGAATTCTGTTTTGCATAAAATGCATATCTATTGTAGTTTTAATTATTTAGGAAAGGCATTATTATGGCATTAAGCTAAGAGCAACCCAAAGGATAAATGAATATTGATATTTCATGATCTCAATGCTATCTTTGGAGGACATGGTTAGAAAGAAGTATCTACTGAGCATACTGTATAATCCAGTGGTTCTTAACCTTTTTATACCGGCGTAGTGCCGCCAGCTGAGAAAAAAAAATGGCGGATCGCGTTGTTTGGCGACTCCCGTAAAATGGTCGTTCGACCCCAAATGGGGTCGCGACCCACAGGTTGAGAACCGCTGGTATAATCGTTGCCTCTCGCGAACTGAACATCTGATTGCAATCAATTCTAGACTATAGGTCAGCCTCAAGTTACCACCTAGGTGACTATACTGCAGGAATTACTATTCTGTTTTATTTGTACTGATATTTCTGATAGAAATTTTTAAGTTGATGCTTTCTCTGGAAAAGGGAATAACTATAGGTAATCCTTGGGTTATGACAACTGAGCCCAAAATTTCTGTTGCTAAGTGAGACAGTTGTTAAATGAATTTTTCCCCATTTTATGACCTTTCATGCCACAGTTGTTAAGTGAATCCCTACAGTTGCTAAGTTAGAAACAGGATTGTTAAGTGAATCTGACTTTCCCATTGACTTTGCTTGTGAGAAGATCACAAAAGATGATCAGATGATTCTAGCACTCTGCAACCATCATAAGTGTGAACCAATTGCCAAGCATCCAAATTTTGCTCACATAATCATGGGGATGCTGCAATGGTCCTAAGTATGAAAAATGGCCATAAGTCACTTTTTTCACTGACGTAACTTTGAACGGTCACTAAATGAACTGTTGATAGTCATATATTGCTCTGATTCTCTCTTGATATACACTAAGTTATTTTAAAAGGCTGGCCTTATGAATATATTTAATGCTCATATAAAATTCTTAATAATTTGTAAGCCATTGAAGGAGAAATGAGACATAAATTTAATAAATAAAATATAAACATATCTTTCTTACTTACCTGAAAACTTGCAACAATGCCCAGTCCAACAGAACCCAGAATTCCAACATACAATGTCAATAAGTTGAAACAAGGGGAAACAAAATGTGTCACATCATTTTGTTTCTTGACAATTAAATATTTTGTATACATTGTAACTACACCTAAAAAAAAAGGAGAAAAATATTTACAAATTGTCCTAAAGACAAATGATGCAATACAAAAGTGAGTCTGGTCCTGACAAAACATTGAAAAGAATAATTTTACTTACATAAGGAATATGTTATATAGAGTTCTTGAACTGTAACAGTCACGATAATGTGTTGGCATGTCCCTCCCTACTAAAATTATTTTGCAATAATCTGTCCCATTCTAAACTGATCAAGAAATAAAATTTGGGCCAGGGCTCTGTTGATTGTGCTAAATGCTGTGGATCACTAGAAATAATTCTTTCCAGACAATGAGAGGACTTGAGATTGCCTAAAATGCTCCACACAGCTGCTCCTCCAAGTTAGTGATTTCTGGTGGGTTTAGAGCTCTGAGAGATAAGGAAATAACCATCATGCTCAAGCCGTGGTTGGCATTCTTGAAAAGACACTAAAGTCACATACTTCCCCCTTCTAATGACTTTCAGAAATTGCTTGTTAATTGCTTTTCAGTTATTACAGATCTTTGGATCAACATAGCGCTGAATTTCTTTCAATCCTTAGTGAAAGAAGTTTTAACTAAAAGTTTAAGAATTTTTTTTACAAATGGGGAAATAGACAGTAAAAGAATGATTAAAACTTTTGATCTAGAAAATTACAAAGATTGAGATAAGTTTGAAATAAGATTTTGGAATTAATTATAAATAATCCTTCCAGTGGGAAAATGCTTTATTTTTTTAAAAAAAATTAAAAATTGGATAGTAGAGGGAACTAGAGATTATAATTAAAGGAGAACCCTTAAATTTGACTTACAGAAAGAAGCAAAATATTTTAATATTGAATACACTAAAGGATCTTTTTAAAACAGATAATGCTGTTATCTCTGATAACCGTGAATGGTTTTTGCTGACGTCAGATTGAAATAACTGGACTACATGGATTTGTTTATAGATAAAAGACAGGATATTTGAAGAAGAGATCATTTGTTGTATTTTAAGAAAAGGTGATCAGTTTAAAAAAAATCCTTTTATCTGTTATGGTGAAGAGGGAAGTCACTTCTTTATATATATATTTTCTTTTTCTTTATTATTTTTTCTTTCTTTTCTATTTCCTTTTCTATTGTTTTTCTTTCTTTTCTGCACTTTTCCCCTTTCTTTTTAGTTCATATTAGTTTTTACCATTAGAATTGTAATCTTTAATAAAATTATTATTTTATAAAAATAAATCTTATAAAATAAGATAATGAAGCTTTCCTACCAGAAGGAAAAAGGGAAGACTCCTAAAGAGGACTGTATATATACAGGCAAAGATCTTTAAATATTGAAAAGATTTAAAGGGTTTGGAAAGAGGGCACATAACTAAAGAATACAAAATTTTATTGAAAGAGATTGTCAGGCACAAGAAACCAGGAACTGGGACAGAATTCAAAAGCACGGAAACCTATATACAAGAATCTGAATAACTAATGGTCAATGCGGAACTGGCACCAGATATGAGTCAACAGACTTTTGGGGGGAGGGAGGGGCTGGACTTAGGTCTCTTTTGAGGGTAGAGGGATCCAGACTGATGATGACAGCCATTTGTCCGAAATGGTGTAGGGTTTCCTGCCCGAGCAGGGGGTTGGACTAGATGACCTCCAAGGTCCCTTCCAACTTTACTACTATTACTATCCCACCCCTCAGGCTCAGTCTGGTCATCTCTTACAGAAATGACAAAATTGTGTCAGAAAGGCTAAAGCTCAGAATGAGCTGTTGCTGGCAAGATATACCAAAACCACAAACAAAAGGGGGATATTTATGTAATTGAAAACATACAAAAAAGGCAAAGGAGTTGTAAATCTATTTTAAGAAAAAATAATATACTGATAATGGGAAATGGCGAAGAGAAGGAATTTTTAAACTCCTCCTCTGTGTCTAACTTTTGTTAGAAATTAAATGGAGCCATAGTTAGTTATCAGTATGTGGAGAGAACCAGCAGCAGCTTAGGGCAGATAAGAAGATGAAAACCTAGCAGCTAATTTAAATGAATTCAACTCTCCAAGGCTAGATGGATTACATATTAGGATACTAAAGAAATTAGTAAAGAACTGAACTACTCTTTGGAGATCCCAAAAGAGTGGAGAACAGCAAATGTCATACCCATCTTTAAAAGGGGAAGAGGAACTAGGACTGGTCAGCTTGATGACAAGAATGGGCAAGGTCTTTGACAGACCATCCACCATCATACTTGTGAACACCTTGGATAGACATGCTATAATCAAACAGGAGCCAGTATGGGCTTGTCACAAACTCATCATCATCATTTTTTCACTAATTGATTGGGGGAATACTTAGCAGTAGTTGACAAAAAAATGTCATTAAATTATCCTTCTTAATTACAGTAAAATATTGGTAATACTATCAGATATATTCATAACTCACAAATAAAGGCAAAAATAAGTATCCCAGGATAATAATAATCTAGGTTGGTGTGATACACACCCACTCTGCCCGAGAGAAGTTTCCCTGAGGATGGGCTCCAGCTTAAGTCCAAAATGCTTGGAAGACAAAACTCTGGTTCCGGTGACTGACCCAGATTGGATCTTGCATATAAATAACTAACTGCCTGAATGACTTCATCCCAAAAAAGTTGGCAATGTCCCAGCTTGGTGGAAAATATCAAATGAAGCCCATAGGCTCTATCCTGGGATGCATGTTACTCAATAGTTTTATCAATGACTTGAATGAGGGAGTTGAGGAGATACTTACGAAGTTTGCAAATTACACAAAGCTGGGTGAAATGGGAGGAGAGAGGATTTTAAAAGTTTTACACAGGATTCAACAAAGAGCTGAAATGAACAGAACAGAATTTAACTATGAAAAATATAAAGTTACGCATTTCAGTAGAAAAAATGAAAGCACAAATATTAGATAGGGGAGACTAAACTTGGTGGTATGTATATGAAAAAGACCTGAGAATTCTTATGAACTTCGAACTAGCAACTTAATGTAGCTGCTAAAAACAACTATACTAACTATACAACTATACTGACAGGAGTATAGAATCCACCGCCACAAGATGTAATTGTTCTTGTCTATTCTGTTCTGAACAAAGCGTGAAATATAGTTCAGAAGAGGGTTATCAAGATGGTGATAGAAGCTATGTCCTATAAGAAATAATGGATATTATTTAACATACAGAACAGAAAACTGAAAGAAAATTAGGATAGCAGTCTCCAGGTACCTGTACAGTTGTCTCATACAGAAGAGAATGGATTAATTCTCCACCGTCCCAGAACACAGAACCAGAACCAATGGTTAAAACTACAAAGTGTGGTCAGGTAGATATCAGAAAGAACTTCTGACTGTACAACTGACCACCTTGTGAAGTCTACCATATGTTAATTTTCCTTTGCTGAAAGTCTTCAATCAGAGGTTGGATATTCATTTATTGAAGATGATTTACTCAATCTTGCACTGGCAGAGGATTGGTTTGAACAATCTCTAACATCCCTTCCAACCATGTAATTCTAAAAGATCTACTTACACAACTAGAACTTTTATTCTGTTGACAAAAGCAGTAGATAACAGTAGTGGCCAAAATTGTGGAAACCTTTCAGGAAAAGTGTACAGTAGAAATGCCCACCTTTCGTTAAGTTTCCACCAATTTTTCTTCTAATTTCTTTATAACTGTAGCCTTGTTCACTTAATACTATTTTACCTTGCTTTCTAGGCAACCAGTCAACTCTTTGCACCATTACTTTAATTTTATTTCATTTTACTAAATGAAAGAACACAAAAAAACCCAACCAACGTGATAGCAATCACATAACACACTGACAAATGTCCTCCTCTCAGCTTCAATACATGACATTAATAACTGAAACCTACTGTGATCTGATTGGCTCATTGCCAAAACAAGATGACACCTGATTGGCTCTCTAAACTCTCATGCTCATTGGCTACAATCAGATGAAGGACAGCTACCTGATATCAACCTAAGCAAGTTGTGCTTCCTTTTTCTGGTTATTTGGCTATAACTTTTCATAGAATACAGTACAGATAATTGAACAAACTCTGTTGCATTACATTCTTGATTACATTATCTTTCCATTGATATATAATTTTATGGTACTACTCCAAAAAAAAGTGGTGTTATTAGCCATCAAACCTCAAAAATATATTTTTCCCAAAAGGTTTCCACAATTTTGGCTACTAATGTAACATGAAACAGCAAAATAGTAATTGTATAATAATGAAAGCAACCTCCCTATCAGGTAATCAGCAGAATTGAGGCTAAAAAATGATGCTTCTTTAATATAGATCTCTTGTGAAATAGTTTACCACTACAAATTAGATTGCTCCAATTCAGCCTTTCAGAAGCAAGTTAAAATTGAGTTTTTCCATTTTAATTTATCTAATTTAGAAAGTGCTGCTAAACTGTTTATGTGCTCCCATTTAAAAATATTTAATTTTGTTATGACTGAGTTAGTTTTGCTTTATTAGATGTTTTTCTCCATAAACCAGTAAGAGTCACATGACTATAAAAACAAAACAATGATTTAAAAACAAATGTCATCTCGTTTCAGACAGCAAAACATGGATCAAAGACAAGAGGCAGCAGAGACACAGACTGAGTACAAAGAAGGACATATACTGCAGTGGAAAAAGCAATCCTTTACTATCTTCCTCATAAAACAATCAGGCCTTTAAAGTAAGAACCAGACTTAAAACATAGTCCAAAAACAATTGGGCTAAAATAACAAGTGAAGATGATACAGATCTGTAGTGATATATATTCTATCCAGACTTGGTGTCGCTTATTTAAAACCAATCACGTGCTTTTCTAAGACATGACACATAGGAAGTATTAAAATAGTTTATATGTAAATACTACACAAATGCAAATATCACATAAATACTTCTAATAAAGTCTGTCTTCTTGTATTCAATCTAGAATATTTCAAGGTCCATCTATGAAATTCAATAGCCCACCTTCCATAGTAGAAATCCAATAAAAACTGTTTCTCCGCGCACATCATCATAAATTTAAATAGTATTTTACAGAGTAACATCAAAAGTAAACAAGACTGTATCCAGAGAATATAGTCTCTGCTACAGATCAACATAATTCAGCAGACAGAAGCAACATGAGCTGTTTGCTTAAGCTAATATTAGACTATAACCTAACTACTCCGATGAATATTACATCCAGAAGTATGCTCATTATAAATTATTTGGTAATTGTATTTGCACAATGCACATGTTTTCAAAGCTGCTGTCATATTTAATTTATTGCACACACCTTAAAAAAACCAAAATGCTACTTTAAAAACATGTATGAAATTGTTTAACAGTGAATAATCCTAGATATACATTATAGGACAGAGTAAATATTCCACTTTATACATTTAAATAGGGCATGGATGCATGTGATTAATCAAATGGTTAGTCAAGATATACTGCCATGATCCACAATCAAGACTGATTAGATGATTAGATGATTTGTATATTTATATACAACAGAAAGTCCCTTGGACTGCAAGGCGTTCAAACCGGTCAGTCCTAGAAGAAATCAACCCCGACTGCTCTTTAGAAGGCCAGATCCTGAAGTTGAAACTCAAATACTTTGGCCACCTAATGAGAAGGAAAGACTCATTGGAGAAGGGCCTAATGCTGGGAAAGAATGAGGGCAATAGAAGAATGGGACGACAGAGAATGAGATGGCTGGATGGAGTTACTGAAGCAGTAGGTGTGAACTTAAATGGACTCCAGAAGATGGTAGAGGACAGGAAGACCTGGAGGAACGTTGTCCATGGGGTCGCAATGGGTCGGACACGACTTCACAATTAACAACAACAAATACAACAGAAAAAAATCCATATAAAAGTCAGATCTTCATGCAGACTCCATATGTTCCATTTGAAAGGGTGTTTTCCAGCTGAGACATTTACTTCACCCTTTCTCATGCACATAACTGTATGGATGATACAGGTGTTGCTTCCATTTGTAACCCTCCTGTACTAAGGAAGATGGACTAAGCCAGTGGTGGTGAACCTATGGGACGGGTGCCAGGGGCGGCACTCGGACCCCCCTCTGTGGGCACACATGCCATTGCTGCAGCCTTGCCTCCCCCCGTGAACCCCTCCTCACCAGAAGCCCTCCCGGAGAAGAGTCACTCCCAAGCATGGCCCATGTGGAGCAGTACAGCCAACGACATGGCAGCCAACAGCGTAGACAAGACTCTGCCCTCATGCCCGATTGCACACAGTTGATGCTGCAGGGCGCGGGCAGAGGGTGTGGCTGCCATGGTGCTGCTGGTGATCTGCGGCAGGCCCTGGAGGCGATAAGTGGCCCTGTGGGCAGGTGGGGTGGGGGCAGAGCTGGGGTGGGACAGGGGCAGGGCCAGTTTTTGGGCACTTGGTCTCTAAAAGGTTCGCCATCACTGGACTAAGCTATAAAGCATCTTTGACAAAGTATTTCAAACGAAACACATCAAATGAAAGCACTCTGAATTCTATGCAATTATGAAGATATGACTTTGTTATCATCATGACTTATCTACTTTTTATACATCTTCCTAAGATGTTTTATACATCTTCCTAAGCCTGAAAGTACACAGCTGTTTGAACTCATTTGTATAAAAGTTCTTGTTTTTAACCCATCACACCTGCTCTCTGCTTCTTCTTCTTGAGTTACTATGATTATGGATTACAGAAAGCTTACTTTATTCCAGGTCAATATACTGTATGACATTTGTAAAGTATTATGTATAAATGAATTACTTTAACTATAAATCCAGATGCTTGTGCCACATCCATCTGGAGACAGGATTGTTAGAAATATTTAATCATTGCAACTCTTAAAAGATCATTTAACAAGTAATACCTACATACCTAAGAATGCAGAAACATTAATCATAAATCCAAAGATACCGCTTTCTGGAGGTTTTGCTCCTGTATCACTAGCATAAATGATAAAAATGACAAGTTAATATAAAAATAATACATGTAAATAAAATATTTCTCAAATCAAAGTTGACTCCTGGAAACTATATACTCCTATATACATCTAATTAAATTGATAATGATATAACTCAGAGAAAGGCATAATTTCTATGATCATTTGTGAGAGATGTTCCCAAAAAAACCAAGTGCTTAATAACCTGGGCCAGTGGTGGCGAACCTATGGCACAGGTGCCAGAGGCAGCACTCAGAGCCCTCTCTATGGGCACACACGCTGTCACCCCAGTCTTAGGCCTTCAGCTGGGTTTTATAAAACCTTTTTGCTTTAGGCCTCCGCCTCTGTGTGCAAAAAAAAGAAAAAAAGGTTTAATCAGTCAATTTCAAGTTCTCACAGGGAAAAAAAAGATCTTGCAAAGTTGGAATTGATCGATTGAACTTTTTAGTCCCACCCAGTCTGCCGTTACCACCGCAGCCACGCCTACCCAGTGGGCCACGCCTACCCAATGGGCCATACCCAGCCAATGGGCCACACTGACGATGCATAAGTGGGTTTTGGGTTGCAGTTTGGGCACTCAGTCTCTAAAAGGTTCGCCATCACTGACCTGGGCGCTTGAATTCAGATCAATACTCCATTCATCATCTGACATGCAGGCCTAAGAGTGTAGTTTGATTCTATGCATACATACTTGGATGGATATTTATCAATTGATCTAACTTCCTAGAAAGGCTGTTCTAGTACACATTTAGGCATGGCTTATTTTTCATTTGAAATGTTGAAGTACATTAATATAATTATCATTTTAAGTATTAAATATGAGAAAAATAATTCCTGTTCTTTTTTCAAAATGGATGGATCATTAGAAATGATAACCCAATAGGTTCCAATCCTCAGATATGAATGAGATGATTGAAATGGGTGGACTAGCAATATTTTATTTTATTTTACTTTATTTCATTCGTTCATTCAATTTCTTTAGCCGCCCCACTCAACCAAACAACTCTGGGCAGCTTACAATATACTGTTAGGCACAGCTAATAGTCCAAAAGATGGCTAAATCTATGATTTGACAGTTTTAATTTAGTGGCTTTAATTCCATCTTCTACATTTCTGAGCTAACAAGTGACGATACCAAATTAGCATGCCAAATAGCCACTTGGCACTTGGTTTACAGTTCTCAATTTATGTATGACACTACATATTCAGTCCCAAGAACATGAAGCCAATCCCAGAAAATATGTTCATTTTATTTTTTCATTTCTACTGTGATTCTCATAGCATTTAATTCTATTTGTTAGAAATTAGAGTTACCATGAACATATATCTAATGTTAAAAATCTGTTATATCTACTAATGTTTTTGTAAAAACCAACAGATATCTTCACCCTGTGTTGTTTTCCAAATCTAATAATATACATGCCAATACTTCTATCATTCTGTCCATCCCTTCCAAAACAAGGCATAGCTAATTCATTTAGTGTGGACCACACTCTGTGACTGTTCTGAAGTAAAATACACCCAATTTTCCCATCACATGTAATTTGATCTCAAACAGAAATATTAGAAAACCTGCCTCTGCCGACCATCAGCTGAATCCCTCAATATTTATAGCAATGAAATATTAATGTTGTTCATGTAACATTCAAAAATACTCTTACTTTGTTAATTAACTCACTATTTAGCTAGAAACAAGTTTTGAGAACCAAAGCTCTAAGTGAAACACTCGACAAATTTGAAGTACTTTTGCAACTAAAGACTGATACCACCTAAAAACTATACTGAACTGTGATCACTTCAAAACCTTTAAGAGCTCTATGTCAGATGAGAATGGAATCTGCTGCACCTATGATCAAAGTACGACTGGATTTTTTCCTGAAACACTCAATGTTGTAAGGGCATTGCAAATAATTAAAATTGTTCAATGTCATTCATTTGCATTGGATTTAGAAGAAACATTAATAAATGTTATTAAAAGTTAAATATTATTAAATACATGTTATTAACTTCAGTGCTGATTGTTAAAAATGAAAATCAGTCACAAAGGAAAAATTGTACTTTTATTCTTGCACTTTTTTTATTATAACTAAGGCAACGAACACGTCACTGGTCTCAATCTTGGCTCTGGCACATGCAGAAACTGTCTTTAGTGCAGAGTTGATGTGATTTTAAGATGGAGAACATTGACACCTGTCTTTGCCATGGCCAGATCAATATCTATGAATGTGATCACTAAGAATTAACATTAGTCATTCAAAAGAGACAATCAATGAGTTAAAAAAGGAAGAAAAGGGAGAACAAACACCATTTCCTGCTAGCACTGAGGATGTTACCTAATTTGGGTTAATGAAATGTCTACAAGAAAACAACCAAGCTGAGACAGCACCAAGGACCCCTCATCTCAACCCTGAGCTACAAATATTCTCTTGTATTGGAAACATAGTTCTTAATCACTTTGCACCGAGATTTCCAAAGATTTCAAAATATAATAGATATGCAAATTCTTAGAAAACGGAATTTGTTGCAACTATATGTAGAAATAAAAGATTTGTGTTTTGTTTTTTCTTTAAACGTATTACTGTCAGTAGAATAGGAGCAACTGACCACTGAAATCATATGCAAATACTTTTTTTCCCCTTCTGCTAAAAGTCTGCATTTTGATAGGTTTAAATTCCTTAGCAAAAACAGCCATTGCATAAAGCAAAACACTTCACAGATGCTGCTTAATGTCTTTAGTTGGGAAAAACTCAGGATTGTTTTTACAGTGTAAACAGCAGTTGTCACTATGATGAACAGAGGGAAAGAACAAGACTTGAGTATACTAGATAGAAGCAAAGAGCTGGTTTTCTGCATTGTTTTATTATAATGTAGTGACGCTCCAGAAGGCAGTCTCCAGATATGATATGCCTGGAAATATAGGTGTCCCAGAATAATGTTGCAGAATCCAATCTGAGTTGGTCACCGGGACCAGAGGTTGGAGCCCATATTCAGGGAACTTCTCAATCTGCTGGATGTGTGCACTGTTGACTCAGTGACCCATTTCCTAGGCGTCAATCAGGAGTGATGATTTACCACCAGCTTACCAGGTACTTAAGAGCGGAGGGCATAGCAGCACAAGGAAACAACAATCAAAGACTTAATACCCCATCAATACCCCAATCAACAACTAAAAGCCATAGGCACCATACATACAACCCATAGAATAGCCCAATGCACACATCCGGGAGATTCAGAAGTTCCCTGAGGATTGGCTCCAGCACAAGTCCAAAAGCTTGGAAGAACAAATCTCTGGTCCCAGTGACCATCTCAGATTGGATTCTGCCTGATATATCTGATGTAATACAAGATAGTATATCTCAGTGTATCTCTGTTAAATTAGGTTATCTTTCTACGGGTAGTTCTCAACTTACAACCAAAATTGAGCCCAAAATCTATGCTGTTAAGTGAGAAATTTGTTAAGTGAGTTTTGCTCCATTTTACAACTTTTCCTGCTACATTTGTTAAGTGAATCACTGCAGTTGATAAATTAGTAACACAGCTGTTAAGTGAATGTTTTCCTCATTGACTTTGCTTGTCAGAAGGTTGCAAAAGATGATCACATGTCCCCAGAACACTGCAACTGTCATAAATGTTGTCAAGCATCCGAATGTAAATCACATGACCATGGGGACGCTGCAATGGTTATAAATGTGAAAAAAGGTCAAAAGTCACTTTTTTCAGTTCTGTTGTAACCTTGAATGACTTATAAACTGTTATAAGTCAAGGACTATTTGTACTTATTTGATAACACTAATTAAATGCAGATTAAATGTTATTTCAATTATACTTAGTAGAGAGAATCAACTGCACTGAAACACTTTGGCTTACTTTTAGAATGTATGTTTAGCATTGTATCTTTGAATTTTAGAATGAAAGGCCTTTCAATTCCAATATATACAGAGAGCAGAATAAAATAATTAAATAAGCGGTATCAGTCTGGACTGCAATTGGAATGTGTTCCCAGATTCAAAGCAAAAAAAAAAAAAAGGGGGGGGGCGAAATGCAAGAATTAATCCTGCTTCCCCAGCCTGATGTTCTTCAGATATATTGGGGCTATAACTATCAGAATTTCAATTTCAGTTGTTAGGGATTATCCTGAGATATAATCAGATCTTAATTAGCACTTCCCAAAGGATTTTCACCCAGCCCTATCATTATATCTCTGTTTCTATCCCAAAAGAATGTTTTAAAGAAATTATGTAAAGGGACTTGGTACTGTATCTGACTATCTGTAGGATAACTCTCAGAAAACTGAACAGACTAATTTTCATATGTTAGGAAAAGCTGGTAAAGAAAAAATTGGTGTAAAAATGGGCCAGATCTAGATGGGGGCTGCATAGGAGGAAAAAAAAATCTTCCACTGCATTCCTAGTGGAGAGACAGTTGACCAGCAGCTCACAATAAAAGGACTATTCCATTCTAAACCCTGCTCCTTCTTCCTTCTCAGTCACAAGACCCAGAGTTAATTGTTTTAAAAGCATTTGGAAAGAATTCCTGAAGCCACACTTTGCATGTTGTTCTTATTTCATTAAGGTTCCTAGTTTTTACCCTGTATGAGTTACCAGGTAATTTTTTAAAATTTCATTTGCAGAAGTTTCTGGAAAGGGGGCCCACATAACAACACCTGCTCCAATTCTCCTTGTTTTTTGTTTGTTTGTTTGCTTGCTTGTTTTTGGAGAAAAAAAAAAACAGTGGAGATCAAAAAAGCAGCATCCTGCCTTTGGCTCTGTATCCACCACCTCCTCAGAACCTTACCCCGTTTAGCTCAGATTACAGAACCAGGGAACAAAATGACCTGACTGCCCTTAAAGTGAAGTGGAGGAAAGCAGAGATCCAGATATTCAAGTTGTGGAGAGCCAGAACATCATGGAGAGGCCTGGGAAGTCTTCAGCCAGGCCACTTTTCCCAAAGCAGGAGAAGTGACTCACCACACTTCTGCCCCATTTGGGGCAACCATCAGCTACGAAGTGCTCGACCGAGAGCAGGGAAAAACTTTATTTCCCTATTTGATTTTGATGGATTTAAACACTGACTACAGTTTCTGCCCTGCGTTCCCCACCTAAGCAAGGGCGCAGAAGCCAACAGGGGGCGCCCTTCTCTCTCCCCATCTCACCTGATATACGGGAAGAGCGGCTCCACATGGCCGCTGAGCACGGCGATCGCGTAGGAGAGGATGAACGCAGCCGACGACCAGGAGACCAGGAACGTGGGAATGAAGGCTGCGCCTTGCGGGAAGCAGGGCATCCTGCGCCACCAGCGAACACCCCGCGGGATTAGCGGCTGCCTTTCCCCGCCACCAGGCCTGGAGGCAGAGAGGCCCCGCCAGCTCATAGGGGTTACTAAGATCCGCCAAGTGGCTGAAGTCATAAAAGCGGCTGAAGTCACAAAACTTTAACTCGGGAGTGGAGGAGGAGGAGTGGGGGGGGGCAGGACGAAGCCGCCCCGAGGCGTCCCTTCGAGAAGAGGAAGAGAAACCGCTCCCTCCGGGGGCGCTTCCTTCCAGAGGGCGGCCCAGGCTGCGGAGGTCTTTTCCCCCGTGAGCTTGCCTCCGTACCCCCGCCCAGCCACGAGCTCTTCCCTTCCCGCTCAGGTCGCGGACACGAAGTCCTCGTGGCAGGTCAGGCAGCCGCCCCCGCCCCGTCCTGTCGTTCTGCTCCGACCTTCCTCGCCCCCCACCCCGCCAGAAGTTTCCCTAACTACGAGTAGGGAAAACCCGTCGGGGTGAAGACGGGCTTTCCCGCCTCACCAGCGGCGGGAGGTTGCTTTCTCTCCTCCGCGAAAATTAAGCTGGCTTTTCCCGCTGGTACAAAAGCTCCGGGCACGGCAGTTTGACTGTTAGCGCAGCAAACCCACATCCCCTTGGGGCAGGCTCAAAGCGAAACTCTGAGGAGCCGCCGATGCCTCCCAACCAACTCAGCAAAACGGTTCCCCTTCACTCTTAGCTGACTTGGCTCTGACTTCTTAACATTGTGCAATGTTGAGAAGTAAACAGAGCATAGCTTCCTCCCCTCGCCCGGCCAAGAAACAGGATGCTTTTAGCTTTCGTTTCCTTGTCTATCACCCCACGCTCCTCCTTTGCGATTTATTTTGTGAAACGAGCTAAACCAGTGGTTCTCAACCTTTTTAATGCTGCGACCCCCCAACCGGTCGCAAGTCCAGGACTACTCAACCGGTCGTAAGTCGAGGACTACTCAACTCGTGCAGCACCGTTTGCAGAATGGGACTTTTGGCGGGCTCAGCAGGGCAGAGACAGCCTGGACAATTCCTATTGGCTTTTGAAAGCCAATAGAATTAGACGCTATTCAAGAGAGTCTATTCTATTGGCTTTCAAAAGCCAATAGAATAAAAGGGAGTAGCACAGCTAAGGAAAAGGGGGGAAAAATGGCGGACTGTGTTGTTTGGTGACCCCCCATGAAATGGTCGTTCGACCCCAAATGCGGTCCCGACCCACAGGTTGAGAACCACTGAGCTAAACCATAAGTCACTCCCAGTCAATTCTGATGCTCCTGGCTGAGAAAATTTGACCAGCCTTTAACTCAACTGGGTAAATGGAATCCTGTATTCAATCAGCAGCGGAAGTGGCCGAGACAGTGGGTAGAACATGCTGAATCACAAGCAACGAATTGGGGTTAACATCAACCAAATGTAACCTGTGGTGTAAATGCAACTAGTAGGTTTTCAGGAACTTGTTTAAGTTTGTTGTGGGGATACAGCCAATTTGCCTAAGGAGCAACTTTCTCTGGAGCAGTGTTTCTTAAAGTGCTATTCAGGAATCCCTATGGCCCGTCAAGAATCTGTCAGGGATCTGCAGAATCAAAATTATTTGCCAGCTTATGTTGAAAAGTAATACAGTATTAAAATCACATCAAACAGTCATGAGAAGCAACATTAAATGCACGGATTTTAGTGTGGTAAACATAATACTACCCATGCAAACAAAAACTTGCAATCCTTCATAATTTTTAAATGTCTTAAAACAAAAAAGTTTAAGAAACATTGGTATTCGGGAGCAGTGGTGGCGAACCTATGGCACGGGTGCCAGAGGCGGTACTCAGAGCCCTCTCTGTGGGCACACGCGCCATTGCCCCAGTCCTAGGCCTTCAGCTGGGTTTTATAAAACCTTTTTGCTTTAGGCCTCTGCCACCTTATGCCAAAAAAAAAAAAAGGTTCAATCAATCAATTTCAACTTCTAGGGGGAAAAAAGAGATCTTGCAAAGATGGAATTGATTGATTGAACTTTTTAGTCCCACCCAGTCTGCCGTTACCACTGCAGCTATGCCCACCCAGTGGACTACGTCCACTCAATGGGCCACACCTAGCCAATGGGCCACACCCATCCAACACTCGACGATGCATAAGTGGGTTTTGGGTTGCAGTTTGGGCACTTAGTCTCTAAAAGGTTCGCCATCACTGTTCTGGAGTAACTGAACAGTGATACTTAATCTGAGGACAAAGAGGATGCTAAGTGTTTTATTTTCAGGCCATTTCTTAACAAACAACCTATAACGTGCGTGAATATGATTAAACTATAGTTTAAGTTGCAGCCTGCATGGACAATGGTGAAAAATGCTGAGAGCTGAGATTTATCAACATCTAAAAGTACATTGATACCCCACCCCAATAATTATATTTCCATAACAGTTCTCATGACTATTTGTTTGGGTTTTTTTCAATTTTACATCAATTTCCAAAGGTATTGCTCAACATCAATATATATACTGCCTCAGTTTCAAATATTTCTTTAATTTCTTTCCAAGAGTTTATATTAATATTAAAATGAGTCATCTTATGTTTTTCCATCAGCTATCTAATTATGATCTACATGGATGGGAAATTTACCAGGTGATTGCAATTAGGGAAGAACCATTTGTTCTCTTTATATATGTTACATTACCGGCTGTCACAATTACGCTTACACAAAACAAACTTTGTTGGCATCAGTTGAGTTTATATATCATCAAAATTTGCATATTATCTAGCAATAAGCCAGTTACAAGGGCTCAGTGCTCAGATCATACTAGCCAAATTTGTTGGCTAGTTTGTGGGCACAAAGCTTAATTTTTCAAAGCCTAATTTATGGCTAGCAGTCTAGGGTTCCAGAAATCTGGACAATCACTAGATAGCAAAGATATACCAAAACTTATCTTTGCTGACATTCATTGAAGTTGAGGAGCCCTATTTAACTATCAACTCAAGAATAAATTTTCAGGGGAGAAAGCTATAAAGGGGAAGGGTTGAGCCTCTTCTCTCTATGCATACCAACCCCTCCCCAAATGCCCTGTCCCCATAACAATTAAATTTACTATTTAAAGTTTCCCTTTCTGCCAAGCTTTTTTTTTGTCTAAAATTAATTCCTATGCTAAAGGAACGAAATATCAAGTGAAGTTGCAGTGGGGGAAAAAAGTCCTTCCCTTTCACTTATGGAGAGAAAACTATCAATAGTTCCAGTTGGTTTCCCTTCAGAGACATGCATACTTGCACGAGGTTGGGATAGATTTTCCTCCAGAGGGAGGGAGGGAGAAAGAGGGAGAGAGAACAGTGGGAAAGGACAGAAGTATAGAGCAGTGATGGTGAACTTTTTAGAGACTGAGGGCCTAAACTGCAACCCAAAACCCACTTATGTATCATCGGGTGCCGGGTGGGCATGGCCCATTGGGGTGTGTGTGGCCCATTGGGTGGGCATGGCTGCAGTGGTAATGGGAGACTGGGTGGGACTAAAAAGTACAGTCAATCAATTCCAACTTTGCAAGATCTTTTTTTTCCCAGTGAGAAGTTGAAATTGATTGATTGATTGAACCTTTTTTTTTTTTTTGCACACGGCAGTGGAGGCCTAAAGCGAAAAGGTTTTATAAAACCCAGCTGAAGGCCTAGGACTGGGGCGACGGTGTGCGTGCCCACAGAGAGGTCTCTGCGTACCACCTGTGGCACGCATGCCATAGGTTCGCCACCACGGGTATAGAAGGTGCAATTGGAAAACAGGGTGAAATGGTGTTATTTCTAAATGTTTAAATAGCCTGCATATTATCTACCATTTTATGTTTTTTATCCAGGAATTGCATTTACACATGGTTAGTCACTTCATCTTGAACCTCATTTTCTCTCTGTCCACCATATCCACCTCTCTTTGGGTCTGCACAAATAATGTTGGTGTAGAATTTGCTGTCCACATTGTTAACACCAGTTCTGCTTCTTCTGTAATTCCTTGATATACTAAAATGCCCAGTCTTTAAAGGCATACTGATTGATTTTCTCATTGATTAATATCATCAAGCCAGCTAGTAGGAAAACAACCATAAATCAGGAGATTCAGCACAAACAGAATGGGTTATTGCACAATTGTGGGAATTTTTCTTAGTTTCTATAAACTGATTGCTCCTTTTTCTACAGCATGTTTGGGCAGCCATTGATTTAAAATAATGTAAAGGGAACTTCCCAGTCACAAATACATGTCTTAATGTAAAGGGAAGTTCCCAATCACAAACACATGTCTATCAAAAAATGACATCATCTGTAGTTCACCAACATTCCGATATAAGGAAATTGGGAGAGAGATATTAAGGCAAAAACTAGCTCAGAGAAGACTGCATAGACCACATTATGATAGTATGCCTAACTACATGTTACAGAAGCAGATAATTGAAACCTGCTGCCAGCAAAAAGGTCTATCACTTTAGAAGGAAAGTGTTCAAATTGACAAATTAGTGAGACTGGCAAACAAAAATTAATTTATCATTGTTTTCTATATGGTACAGTGAGGAATAATGGGGCTGATGCTGCTACTGTGATGCCATTTTCAATGTGCCTATACCTAAGGTGACCAAATTTTTAAAATGAAAAGGACACAAATAAATTGAAGAAAAAAATATTGTAAATAAAAGAAACATTTTATTCATTGCAACAATAATACAGAATACACTATAATATGTTAAATGCATAATAAAAACATTTGTAACAATAACATTTTATATTGTAATTATGCTTACATACCGCGCCCCCACCCACAGCTGCCCTGCCAGCACTGCTGCACCGCCGTGTAGAGTGGGCCCCGCGGCTCCCAAAGCACCAGTTGCACTGGCTCTGGCCCTGGGGGGCAGCCCACCGTCGACATACCCCGCCTGCAGCCGCCCCGCCAGCACCACTGCCCACCCTGCGCAGCCTCATGTAGAACAGGCCCCGCGGTTCCCACAGCACGGGGGGCAGCCAGCCACCGCCACCCCTCACACCCCCGCCCGCAGCAGCCCCGCTGCCCCTGCCTCTTGCGCCTGCAGCCATTATTGCCCTAGGAGGGCCGAAGATCAAGAGAAAGTTACCATGATGTCGCTGCTCCAGTCTCCTCCAGGTATCTTCGGGACTAACTAGGAGATGGTGTAGTTGGGTAGCAGGGAGGGATACAAAGTTCCTGCCAACTTGCCTTCGCTGCAGACAACTTACATGTGCAAAGTTTGCCGGCCGGGTGTTTTGGCACGCTCAGCAGCAATTCTTATTGACTTTCGAAAGCCAATAGGGGGAGCAGCACAGCTCATGCAAAAGTTGAAAAAAAAAACCCATCAAAAAAAGGTGCCGGAACGCCATTCTGAGCGTTCTATGAGAAAAAAAAGCCCTGCAGATTAGTCTTCGAATATCGAAAAGGAGGACATGTAGGAGAATACTTTTTGAGGGAGGACAGAACTTACAAAAGGAGGACTGTCCTCCCTAAAGGAGGACGGTTGGTCACTTTACTATACCATTGCGCAGATAACTTTCGTCCAAATAATATGAATTCAGATATCTATGGAATTCTGCTTGCCTCTCTTTTATCAGGTTGGAAAGCTGATTATCTAGTGCGATTGCTTTCCAAGATAGGGAGAAGTAGCTGAAAATAAAATAGGAATTAAAAAAAATTATTAATAGGACAAGTGCTAGGAGAAAAGTAACAATGACAGAGACTGTTCAGTACCAAAAGGAAAGAGGTAAATGCATGCTCAGATACACCTCT